CCATAATAGTGGTTAAACTATTAAGAACAGATACTACACTTGATCTAAGCCAAAAGGCCAGAGTGGTAAGGTGTGCCGATCGCGAGAGCGCCCAAAGTCGTTCGCCGCCCGCGCGCACGGACCAGCGTGCTAGAGGCGCGTCGCCGCGACGCGCTCTCCCTTGCCTCTTCCCTCAGCGACTTGTATATACGAACCACATACCCAAATCTAATCTGCTGTTGTGCCCGAATTTGGTCATGGCAACGACATCGAAACCTTCTCGCTGCCCTCAAGGTCTTCCTATCGACACTATGCGAAAATTATCGAGCTCTGGCTGTCGTGGATCGATAGGCCGGCTCTCACGCACTCTATGGGACGGACTTGGCTAATTTATCCAACTGGATGGAGGACCTTGGGGATGAGAGAATGCCATGGGGGCGCTCCGACGAACATGAATGGATCCCCAAAGCAATGAGATGGCATTATGACAGAACAACCCATCCAATGAAAAGATAAATAGCAAGTAAACGAGAGCGTATCCTCGCCCAAGCACATCCGCACAGCACTCCCTAGCGCAAACGCAAGCGAGACAATCACTTGCGCGAAGGGGTAGCATGGAAGAACGTCGTCTCGATCTTGCCGTTGTAGACGGCGTTCGAGAGGTTCTTGCTTGACGCCTCGCTGTCTGACCTGCACACACAATGAGCCTCCCGATAAGAGAAAATAAGGGCCGGAAAACGTACAGCTGGAACGGCCGCACGTCGGCATTGCACTGCGTAGCGCTGATTGCACCGCTGATACGCGCATCACTCGAGAACACGTCAAGCTGCGGCTGCATGCAGGTCGGGTCTGCAGGCAGAGTGCCGACGCGCTGTTGGTAGATGTAGCACACGTTGACCTGCGCAAAATCCTCGGCAGGCGAGGAGTTGGCGTAGTCGTCCGGCACGCAAGATGAAGCAGCGAGCGCGTTGGTCCAGGTGTCCGAAGGGGAGGTGTTCTGGTCCAGCGAATGGCCCGATTCGTGGTCGAAGACACTCTGCGAGCAATCGCCGTTGAAGACGATGAAGTCGCCTGACGAGCCGGCGGAGCATGAGTCTGCGGCGACGGCGAGTGCGCTGCCGACGTAAGAGCGGACACCGGGAGGGACCTGAGCGAAGCGTGTCGCCATCGCGTTGATGCTGTCGATGCTCGTCAGATACAGTCATCATGATATATGCTCAAGCAACGTACTCCATCTGCGCGTCGGCGCAGCGGCACAAAGTCCACGGCTCAGCACAGTCGCCAATGGTGACTTGATACGCCTCGACGGTCGTATCGCATCCTGAGTCGCTCGCGTGCGATGTGCAGATGTCGGGCACGTCGACGGAAGCGGTAGTGAAGGTCGGCACCGGCAAGTTATCGAGACCACTGAGCGGGTCGTGAAGGCCGTCCGGGAAGAGTGTGCTCTTGCCGAGGTCTGCGAGCGCGGGCGAGACAGCCGAGAGGGCAAGGATAACGGATGAAGCGGAGATCATAATGAATGATATTCAGATGTCAGCAAACAAAAGAGATTGAGAAGTAGAAGACGACAGCCTGGGATGTTGGTATGCATATCAGTGGGCTTTATAGCCTCAACGACGTTTCCGGACACTGCCCGAAGGGGAAGGTATGCAAAGAGCCTCGTTTCCACCCTTGTTGACGCAGAAGACACAGGCGGCATATGCGTTGCATTGATCTGCAGGTTGCCAAGAGCACCAGAATAGAGTAGCCGCCTGCAGGGTCGTTCATCTCGAACAGGCCGGCTTTGTGCGATGTAAAGCTGTGTTGCGCGCTGCTTCCGAGCAGTGCCGTCGGCGATCCGGCCCTCAAAACACTGCGCCGGGCTAAGCGCTCAATAAACGGGGCAATATCAAGGACCATGACAGCTGTTGGACGGCAAACGGCGAACGTGTCCATACACTTCGGCCGTCATATGCTCGGAGTCCATGCGCGACGTCCGTCAAGAAGATGCTGCGAGAGCAGAAGTGGGGTTGGGGTGACTTGATGCTTGCCCACTGAGCCCACAATGCGCGCTCTTTTCCTTGTGCAGCAGGCTCACAGTTACCACACGGAGGTGGAGACAGTAGATCAGCAGGATAGACTGCGTGTAGCGCCCAACACGATTTGACGGGAGTTATTGTGTCTTCTTCAGCCGACGTTGTCGGGTGGTCCTGAGTCCTCCCGAGTCCTCCCAGACGTGATCACAATGCCTTCCCCAACCATTAGAGAGAGGTAATCGACTGAATCGTAGAAAGAGGGTTTGTCCGAGAGGACGATGATCGCAAGCAGCAACCTATACAGCGAGCACGCCCTGGAGGCAATAACGGGAAGCGCGGCCCGAAGTCCGAAGTCGCGTCGCGGTCGTGCACAACGCGTCGCTCGCCTTGACCCTGTCCTCGACCACCACCACTCGCGTTCTTCTCGAGGCAATCACCATGTCGTTCAAGTCACCTGATGCAGCTGTCTCTGCTCTATGTAACAAACTGCCCACTGGCTCTTTCGATAAAGCCGCCCTCGACGCGCAGGTGGCGCAAGTCCTGGAGACTACGCCAAGTAGCTCATCCGCCGAATTGCGCCGGGCGAAGTGGGAACTGGCGCTCAAAACGAATATATTTGATCTTGCGGTATGTAGGCTCAAATAGTCTAGGAAAAGATTGCGTGCTTACGCCTCTATCCGCGGTGTAGATGAACGAAGGCCGTGCCTTGAAGGACCCAGGGACGAAGTACTACGACGAGATGAAGCACCGGTTCGATGTCTCGCTCTCCTTCTTGCAACAAGGTTAGTCTCTTTGTTCGTACTGCATACTTCTTCGGCTCTGACTGATATACCGTGGCGTCCCAGATGCTTGCGACTCGTCTTTCATGCTCACTCTACTCGAGGACCTTCTTCAGTCTCAGTCTATCACCTCTTGCGCGCGTATCTTTACCTGGGTAGAAGCGCATGCTCGCGCTCTCACGTCTGGAATGCACGAAACGAAGGGGAAATCTCTTGTACTTCTACGAACCTTGAATAACCTGCTGCGACGACTGAGCAAGATGGGCGCGGATCCTGTCTTCAGCGGACGCATACTGGCCTTCTTGAGTGCCGTATTCCCTCTCAGTGAGAAGTCCGGTGTCAACCTGCGCGGCGAGTACGGACCGGTTTGGGAAAGCGTCGATGCCTCCGTTGAGAGGCAGGAAGAAGAAGCGGAGAAGGCGGAGGCGATGAAGACTGACGAGGTGGAGGGTGCAGAGGAGAAGAAAGAGGATGCGATGCAAGTGGACTCGCCTGATAAGGAGGAGCAAAACAAGAAAGATGGTCGGTATACGCCAATTTGCCGACATGAAATGGTGCTGACCCTTGTGCATAGCGTTCTACAAGGTCTTCTGGTCTCTTCAGCTACCGTTCTCACGACCACCTGTCTTCGCCGGTATCTTGTCAATGGCAGACTTCCGGACGGCCGTCGAAGCTGTACTTCCACGATTGAAGGAGGCTACAGCACACGACCGTGCTCTAGCAGGTGGAAAGGCAGGCCACGAAAGCAGCGCAACAACGTCGGGTACGAAGCGCAAACGTGCGAGCGACTCACCCGACGCTCCGGGTGTCAGCGATTACTTCTTCGCCAAGTTCTTGACGAGCCCGGAACTACTGGATCTCGAGGTAAGCGCGACTGGATTTCACTCCCATGACGTTGTTCACTGACGACTGCGGCTACTGGTATAGATTGCAGATGTACACTTCCGGCGGCAGGTCATCTTCCAGTTACTCGTACTCTTGCAACACCTCGACGCATGGACGCCCACGGCCAAAGCGGCATGGTGTAACACCAAGAACCGCTCGCTACAGTTTGACTTCACGCTCCAGCCCGATGACGCGACCTGGGTCTCCGACGTCCGTACGCGTCTGGCCGGCGAGTTGCGCTCCTCTGTACCAGCCGGCGGCGTCTTCGCCGAGACGGTTGCAGTAGTGCTCGAGCGCGAGCGGAACTGGATACGGTGGAAGAACGAGGGTTGCCCGCCGTTCGAAATGCCTATCAGAGAAGTCGGGATTGAGGAGGAAACGAAGGAGGCGAGAAAGAGAATGAAGGCGGAGCGGGAAGGCAAAGAGGGCGCGCCGAGATATGGGAGTGCGGCGCTGAAGGATCTGTGGGAGAACGGGTTCAAGGAGCTCAGCCAGTTGGAGGTCATGATGCGATCGTGCGTTTTGCTCTTCCTTCGTTCCTCATCCGCCTGAGGCTGATAGTGCATGCAGAACGGACGATATCCACGGGTACACGAAAACCATAAAGGCCCAGGACAAACTCATCGACATGATGAAAGCCCGCCTCCCCCCTCCACCTACGGACGGTACGCCGGCACCAAAGCTTCCCCCACGCATAGCAGCGCAGATTGAGGGTGCGGAGGCAATGAAGCTGAAGACGGCATGGCTCGCGATGCGCGCTGCGCGTGGAGCTCACTACGGGATGCTGCAACATGCCGGAACCGGAGACGTTGTAGCGCTGGAGGCGGCCATTGAGAAGGCTGAAGCGGACGAGAAGGCGAGGGCGGATGCAGAGGATGTCGACATGAAGGGCGATCTTGATGAAGAAGTGAAAGAGGAGAACGGGGATGTGGTCGATGCTGGTGATGGGGATCCGCAAGAGGTTGAGGAGATGAAGGCAGAGGGTGCGGCTGTGGAGAGTATGAAGGATGTAGAGATGGCCGAAGGTGAAAAGGACGTGACCCGCAGTGCGGAAGTGGCGGCGGCAGGACTTCAAGGGCAGTAGAACACCCTCATTGGGTTCTAAAGCCCGTTGTGTACTTTGCTATATACTGTATAATCCATCAGATCAAATACAATGCAGTACCAGCCGTGGTGAATACCCTTCGCCCATTTAAAAGAAGTACCTGTTTAGCTCGAAAAGCCCGCATCGGGCCGCTATTCCGAGCGCTATTACCTAATGCTCGGCGCCGGAGCGAGAACGGTAAGCTTCATCAAATAAGTGTCTTCTCTCCCAACATCCACGTCACTTGCAGGGCTCGATTCCCTGGAAACCCTTGCGAGCGCTTGGAGCAATCTAGAACGCCTGGGTGCAAGCTACTTTGGATTCCTTTGCTATTTCTCTTAGCCAAAGGTGCTTTGCAAAGCCCACACGTGCGCTGTGAGTCTAGCGACGTGCATAACATGTCGAACGATGATGCGGTATGCTCCTCTTCTCATGAGATGCCGCCCAAGACGCCACACAACTATTGCATGTCTGATGGCGGGAGCGAGTTGCTCAATGTAGAAGCATACATAGCCTTTCCACGCGACATTCATTGAACAGTATACGCGTGTACCTTCCACTGCCTCCCAGGACGATCGCCATCCTAGGTTGCTCTTCGACACCCATGTCCTCGCCGTCTCCGGCTCCCAACTTCCCTCAACATTACCCCTTCATGCCCTCCGATTTCGGCACCGCGCAAGGAGCGCACATCGCAGGTGGATCGCACACCAAGCCAGAAGATACATTCGCAACCCTTTGGGCGGAGGCCGTGAGAAAGTTTCAGCAGAGTGCCGACATATCGTCAACGCTATGGAACTCGTTATCGGACACCCTTCTTCGCTGCAAGAGTTGCGAAGACGTGCTCAATGCGTTTGAAAACACGACGCGGAAGTGGAAGGAATTCAACGCTGCAGACACGAAATGGAAGAACGTGCGAATCAAGTACCTGCAACCTGTTGTACAGGCCCTTCTGCTCTTCAACGATGCCATCGCGGAGCTTGCTTCTCATTTTGTGCGTTAACTGTACAACCATGCATGGCCGTACTCTGAGATCCCTCAGCCCACTATTCCCGGTGGGAAGGCGATTTTCGTAGCGTTCGGCGTGCTGCTTCAGGTACGTAGCGTAGACTGAGTTGGACAATTTTGTGTAATGCAGTTGCTCTTTTACAGGCTACGAGTGAAATCAGCGAACGCTGTGAAGTGCTTATTGACCTCTTGGAAGAATTGAACTCGTTCTTGGAGCGGCTAGCTATCCGGCTTGTCGCGCCTTCGGCACTAGGGCCCGTGTCAAAAGCTCTCGTCATCGTCATTCTCGCTCACCTACTGGACGTCTTCTTGACAGCAACAAAGCTGATATCTCAACCTCTCTGGCGCACAAGACTAGGTGTGTTGTCTCACATATATACCCTGTCGCCACCGCCAATCATTTCACTTGCAGTTCTCTACAAGCAAGCATTGACTAAGGACAAGGGCATGATGAATGCTCTCGAACGTCTACGTGCTCTCACGGAACTGGAAACGCGAGCTATGGCTACAGAAACCCACGTAACGGTCGTCAGCTCTCGTGCTACCCTAATGGAGATACAATCAGTTGCCACGCAGACTGCCTCAGAGATAAGTAAGATGTACAGAGGTAGGCCGCACCATGTGCCTCATCGATTGTCACTCACGTTGCTGTTTTAGAGCTGTTGGAGCTCACTCGTGTCGAAGTTCGTGCTCTAACACTCTCCTCGGTACAGGATCTAACCTTCAGTAGCAGCGCCACCACATGAACGCCGACGCCTCAAGTGCGTTATTTGACCCTTGTTTGAGCATACTGACGACGAATCGTTTGCGGCAGGGATACTTGAAAAGCTTCAACGCGTTGAAGCTGCTGATATCAATGCTCAGAACCACCACGGATGTCTGGAAGATACTCGAGTCGATATTCTCAAGGAGCTGAGGGAGTGGAGTCGCGACGAAGCTTCACCTCAGATCTTCTGGCTCAATGGGATGGCTGGAATCGGCAAGTCCGCTATCGCGCGCTCCCTATGTCACGATCTCCGCCGAGATGGACTCCTCGGCGGTAGTTTCTTCTGCTCTCGTCAACGTTCTGCTGAAGAAGGTGACGCTGCACGCATTTTATCTACGCTGTCCGCGTCACTGGCTCTCTGCGATCCGGACTACAATCGCGAACTTCTTGCAGAGCTTGAAAGGGAGCCATTCTCCAGACACTGGAATCTTGACATCCAAATAGAACGATTATTGCATAATCCCTTTGCGCACGTCACGCGTTCCTCACGTTCTCAGTTGGTCTTTGTGATTGATGCTCTCGATGAGTGTTCGAATGAGGGTACCACTCGGAGTCTCCTTCTGAAACTCGTCAAAGTTGCCCGCTGCATCCCTATCAAATTCTTTCTGACATCGCGACCTGAGCCCCATATTCGACAACAACTCGAGGACCTCGATTCTGTTCTTGGGCGAGTTTTAAGGTTGCATGACATCGAAAAGGACGTCGTCGAAGCGGACATACGTCTTTATTTGACTCATGGACTCAATGATATGCGCAAGACCCTGAGACCTGCTTTACGATCCACCTGGCCACTAGAGGCCGAGATTACGACTTTGACAGCACTTTCTGGTCGACTCTTCATCTATGCATTCACAGCTCTGACCTATATACGCAGAAATCCGATTGAACGGCTGTCTAAGATTGCAAGCGGTGCTACGCCCGTCGGGCAAGTATTCACGCGCCCTCTTGATGCGATTTATACCCTTATCCTCATGGAAGCCATGGACCCAGACATGTACGATCCTGATGAGATTGACTTGACGCAGCGCATGATAGCCGTGATCATTTCTCTATATGAGCCTCTGACCATTGATGCTCTTGGCGAGCTGTTAAGCATGCCTGCATATCGTATCAGAAGCTCGTTGGACAGACTCTATGCGGTTATCTACGTGCCCGTCCGAGACGACAGCGGAACCTTGTCTACTTTCCACGCATCTTTGGCGACTTCCTCACAACGCAAGGGCGTGCCCCTGAATCCATGTATGTTCATATGTCTGGGCGTCATGCACATCTTGCCGATGTCTGTCTGCATGTCCTACGCTCAGATCGGATATCTTTTAATGCGTCCCAGGCAGTCACATCTTATCTGCCGAACAGCATGCAGAAGCTTGTACGGCTGTCAGACAGCCAGCGTTATGCGTGTATAGCGTGGGCATATCACATTGCTCACAGTACTGAAGAAGATATCCGGCGCCTCTTGGCAGAGCTAGAACGCTTCTTCATCGGGCCCAAATTCCTATTCTGGCTGGAGGCACTCAGCAGCATTTGCATCGCACACAAAGCCCTCTCTGTTCTAAGAACACTCCAACGATTGGAATCCCTGGAGTTTGATCTCTTGTACGATTTCCTTGAGTCCGCTACGGATTTCATCGAGGCGTTTGCCCCCGTTGTAAACAAGAGCACACCTCACGTATACTTATCAGCCCTTGCATCTTGCGATACTCCGCGGCTTACAATGATATGGGGCTGCTGCACCCCCTTTTTCTGCAGGTTTGTTGCGTTCAGTGCCCAAAGACCAAACGCTAGTGCTAGCGGGCCTTGTCGCAATTCACAGTACTCTTTTGGGCCCCTGCGAGAGCTCTGCCACTCAGAGTCAGGGGATTTTACTCCCTTTCGCATCGTGGACCATGGATGGGTCGTAGACGCAACATATGATCCACCGCGTCTTCTGTTTTGGATGCCTCAGACTGGGAATGTGCATTGCAAACTCTTTTACGAACTGCCCAGGACCATAGTCATGGCAGATTCTGAATTGAACGAGACATTATATCTCGACCTCCTCGATGTCGCGCTTGGAGAGCGTTGGACTGATTGCTACCCGGAGGAGCCTTTACTAGCCAGTGATGCGGGCTCGGATTCGGAGTGCTCGTCTCCCACAACGTCGAGTGATTGAGCGATGCCAGATTGATACTACATGGGGAAGTATAATGCACTAAATGTTTGAAACTGCTATTGTACAAATACACCATATACCTTGTCATGCTGTCTCGCGGCAATAAATGCCCTCTGGCTGGCACATGGATGTGATGAAAAGATGACAAGCGTTCAATGTTCAAAGTCCGCAAAAAAGTTAAGCGCTGTAAGTCTGTGGTGATACAAATATAACCTGTACGGGCGCATCTCTCCGCAGGTATGGTGTGAACCGTCCTGACCACTTCCCCACCACATCCGTCACCATCGCTACTCCGGCGCGACGAAGTGCTCCCATCGGGTACGAGCAAGCTGGGGTGCAGCAACAAACGCAAACTTGCCCGCGCCGAGTACGGACAGTATCGCAGCGAGCGTGAGTAGCGTCACGAATGCACCACCCGCGGGAATGGCAACAAGTGCCATAAGCGCCTTCTCCAGGTCCACGAGCGCATAGCGCCATGCGTCCGCAAGTAATTGCGGTCCCAGGTGGAATGCAAGTCGTAGTGCTTCGAAAGCGCCCCATGAAAGTATGGAAGCAAGAACGAGTGAGCTGAGCACCGCGGCCAGCAGCATGAGAAGTTCGCCTATTAATAGCGCTGCGCGGACGATGCGTGGCCGGGGATGTCTGGGCGGTGATACGACTGGGGATGGTAGCGCATCAGGGTCCGCGAGCGCGGATAGTAATGGAGAGGCGTGTCGGGGCACGTTGAGGTCGGTTATGAGCGGGCGATGGTAGCGGTGCGCGCGTGGTACGTGATGCGAGCGCACTGGGGACTGGTATCGCGGTGGTGGTGTATCCGTGCGACCGTCTTCATGCCCGTGTCCGCGGTGCCCATGCCCGTTCCCTTCTAGCTCGATAAGCAGCGGCTGTTCGTCCTCCTCCTCGTCGGTGCGTGGTTGCTCATGCCAGCGAGCTAGTTGGGTATATGGCGACATTCGTGCAGTTCCCAGCAGGTGCAGTGAGAGACGTAGTAGTGGTACGAGGGAAAGGCGGACGGATAGATGCCGCAGACTTCACTATATATGCTGCGGACGGGCCGGTCGGCCTGGGAGAAGACGCGTAGGGCTGCACAGGCCGTCGCGGGCGGTCTTCACCCCATCATGATGATTATACACTTCTCAACAAAGCGTAGAGCAGTTCCTTTCTCAGAGTCCATGACGCGTGTATAGATCGTGGTGGTAACGTTCAAGAAATGAGTAAGTAAATCGGAAGTGGCTGAGTGCCCCTATCTTCGGTCCGTCCCGCCGTCGCCGTCTGCTTCTCCGCTCCCGCCTCGTTATCGCAGCATATAAGTAGAAAGCATTGCTAGATATATCCTTCAACTTGACCGACCAGCGCGCCGCCTGTCAGACGCCAGAGCAGTGCTCGCTTCTCGTTAAATCCGCGGCCGGGCTTCTCGCGAGCTGGAGTAAGTGCCTGAAGGCTGCTGTCTGAACTACTATGTCTGCCCGAACTGCCTGCTTCACAACGGACGACGTGTTTCGCGATGCCGACGCCGATTTGTGTCTACTCTCCAGCGACATGGTCATCTTCCGTACCCACCGCTGCATCCTCCGCACGGCATCGCCCTTCTTCCGCGACATGCTTTCCCTTCCTCAACCTCCGCATTCGGGTCCGGCGGCTTTGCTTGACAGCTCGCTTATCTCCATGTCCGAAGACTCTCCATCTATCAGGCTCCTCCTCCAATTCTGTTACCCGCGGACTTCATGTCCAGAACCAACTCTCGACAATACGGCGGACGTCCGTCGCGCGCTTGCCCTGGCGCACAAGTTCGACATTGACGTCGTGCGAGAAGCGGCGGAACGCGCTCTCACGCGTCTCGCGAAGACCGCGCCGGTATCCGCATACGCTCTCGCATGGGCATACGAGCTTCCAAATGCAGCACGGGCGTCAGCTCGAGCGTCGCTGTGCCTACCCGCACCGTATCTAGGCGCGCCCGAAGCGCCCGAGCTTGAGAACCTACCGATGGACGCGCTCGTGAGGCTATCCAGATACCACGATGCAGTGGGTGCGGCGCTAAGGGAGCTTGCGGATAGCAAGAGACCTGTGTTGTGGATACCGCATGAGGAGACATTCTTGGCGGGGCCGGACGGCATGATGGCGGCGCCTGCACCGTGTCGACATGACCTTACCGCTGTAAGCTTCGCCCATGTCAGTCAAGATGGACCCGTCGCAACTTGGGTGAAGGCATGGTGGTGGGAGTTTGTATGTGCGGCGGTGCAAGACAAGAGTGTAGCTTATTCATCAGAAGCGATTGAGGGTGTCCTCAGGTCATCTTTGCTCAAGGCTTTGCGGTCGGCTGCGCGATGTGACTTCTGTGGGACGGCGAATGTGGAGGATGTTTTGGGTAGAACAACGGGACGGTTGAAGAAAGAGATCGAGAGGCGCGTCTTGGAGGTCAGTGCGTCGTGCATACGCAATACGCGTGTACTCATCGTGAGTTAGGTGCCGCATGATTTGCCATTCTGATTTGAGGAATCGCTACACATGGGCTGACTCTGCTGCTGAAGACCAGCCATACTTTACAGTACATGTAGCCATTATGCTCCAACGGTACAGTCCGCATCTTATACACTTTGCCCCGTCACGCCTGTCAGAGAGATTAGGTCGGGAATGCGTTTCGCGAGACGACTGTGGCGCACCTGAGGCAGCCTGCGCAGTCCCCGCTTCCTGCGCAGGTCTCCCAAACGCCAACGAGGTTACGGAAGAAGTCCGTGGCGTATCGGCATTCGGCTTCCAGCCCAGCCATCCCTTCGCAGTACGGATGACCTGTGAGTATGCTGCGCGAGCATCGGGAGTGAATCCAAAGATGGCGAACAGGGCGAAAGACGTGACGGGGGCCATCCAGGCTAAGAGATCGAAGTACGCTTTGCGCTTCCCCACTTGTGGTGTCCAATCCGCGTGTACCGTGTCCCAGCCCGAATAGAAAGGCGGCGGATCCGAAGTGTCTCTGAAGTCCAGGACGGCCAAAGCCACGACAATGACGTTCGTCGGTAGTGTCAGCAGGATGTCGATACTGGACAAGGCAAAGATCCGCAGATAATCTGCGCGTGAGAGGGCACTGTTGGAGGCTCCCGATCGTAGGCGAGCGGCCTCTCTGCTCTGAGAGTAGAAGAAGTAGGCGACCTTTGCTACAGGGACAGCGTTGTTAGATCGTCCATTCTCATCACTAGTACGTCGTATTGACTTACGGTAATAGATGAGAATAGAGATCAGAGGGAAGACGACGCCCCAGCCTCCGACCAATAGAATCGTGAGGAATGAGTAGTCCAAGGCGTAGACGCACCCGAATCCTGCGACGACATCGAAGCGATTGGTCTGCACCACGTAGTCTGTGCGGTACGTCAGCTATCAGCAAGCCATACGAAAGGATGACGAGAAAGGCGAACATAGAGGTCCGGCTATCATGGCCGGAACCGCGAGCTCAAGGACCCATGTCAAGATCAAGCCTCCCTTGGTCTATGGAACAGAATATCAGCAGAGAGCCAATCTGGCACGGATAGTGATACTCACTTCGTATGATGTTGTTGTTCTGAGGCCGGATATGATGTATAATCGGCGGGTTATGAGCAGGGTGGACAAAGCTCTGACGATGTAGCAGAACAGTAGAAAGTGAGAGACTGTAGAAGGAGATGTCAGTCTATTTAGCGATCAAATCTTAAGGCAGGTGCTCACAGATATCGCAATAAGCGTGAAGCTTGATGCTGGCGTCGCTGAACCACGATATCTCGTTCGCAGCGAGCATCAGGTTCTCGATCGCCAAGCAGGAGGCAAGAAAGAAGATGACTAGGTTCCAGCGACGGCGGATAAGATAGACTGCAATGACGACGAGCAGCATTACAGCGCCTACGACGCATGCAATGGGGTGCAACGGGTAAGTGTGATCCACAGCGCCCATGCTTGAGAGACGACGTCTCAGCGTCGACAGAGGACTGCCCTATCCTTATACCCTTCCACGCAGTCACAGCGACTGCGTGTCGCCTCGACGGGCGATGTTACATTATCGCCACAGCACCACGGGTATGTGGGAGACCGATCACATGTCAAGCCGAAGTGGTCAACATGTAACTCAGGGTAGAAGTCCCATATGTATATGGACTTCTATCTTAGCAGCCGAATAACAGGTGTGGGACCGGATCGGAGGGGAGCGTCTAGACATAGAGGGCATAGATTGCCACAATGAAGAATGCAAGACAGCATGTAACTAGATATATCGCCGCTAGTACGTCCAGGACGGGATCCAGAGTCGGAGAACCGGGCACGACATTAGCGCTGCGACTGGGATCGGTTTTTACTGACAGGTCCCTGAACGTCGAAAGTCCTAGATGGGCAATAGCAACTTCAATGTTCCGAGTGTACATTCCGGTACCGGGCTATGGGGCGCTCGTTCATCCCGGTGAACGTCATGCACTATAAGATCGAGAATGGCTGAACGCAAGCCGCCAAGTGGCTTATATTAAGCCAATGGGCTGATAAGGGGCTGATTTTGACCATCAATCGAGCAAATTGGGCGGCTGATATTTTGACACACATCAGCGGTGCAGCCGTTCCGGTGACTGATTTTGACCAAACACGACTGCTTTTAGGCCATTCTGCAGCGTGCAGATGGCTTATGGAACGACTGCACCTCAGCCGTTCCTGATCTTATAGTGATGGAGAGTCGTCACCGTGGCGGTTGGAAGGAAGAGGTCGCTTCGGACCCGTCGGCCGCCTCATCCGCGGCTCGGCAAATGCCGGAACGAACACGGTCCGAAGTTGCCGAAGCGGGATTACTAGTATAGATGGAATCGTCCGTTCGTTATACTTCCCAGGGCGTATACACAGAAGATAAGACGAGAAGGTGGCATTGCAAAGTGGCTACGTTCTCGTTTTTTGAGATTACGTGCGCGGTGCGCGGCTCCGAGGTTGCGTACTTAACTGCTTCAACCCTAACCCCAACGACATTCAGGCGGAGTTCAGCGGCCGTTCCTCTCTTTCCCTCATTCGTCCGCTCGACCAGACTCAAACGGAGTGACGATCAGCGTCACTTGCTTAAAAGTATCAGACACTATACAATGGAAACTCTGAACGGAATACAAACCTGTTCTCAGAGACGTCTGTTGGGCGCGAGGGTTCGTTGCGAGATCCGAGGACGCACGTCTCGGCGCGCAACACCGCACGTTCATGTTGACGGGAGCTTGCTCTCTTCCCGAAGAATGCGCTTACAAGGAAAACGCCATGTCGATATGCCGTGCGCGCCTCTCTAGTCGTACCGAATAAACCAAAGATGAAGAACGGAAGCGTTAGACTTGTCCAGAACGAGAAGTACAACTGTCGCGAACGACATGTGTGCATCCCCGCCCACTCGATGCTGACTGGTGTCCAGTCTGCGTGCACGATGTGCCATCCAGAGTAGAAGGGTACTGTTTCGTTGTCCTCAGCGACTTGAAGGAAGTGTAAGACGGTTGAGACGATGCCGACAGGAAGGGTAATCAATATGTCGATGCTAGCCAGTGCCAGGACTCGGAAGTAGTGTGTGCGTGAAACAGCGCCATTAATCCTGAAAAAATTGTCGACGTCTCGACGTTGATGGTAGAAGACCCATGCAACTTTCGCTCGAGGCGGGTCAGTATCATGCTGCAGCTTCAGTCGTTTGAAGGCACGCACGATAGTAGACAACGACAGATATCACTGGAGGAAGAAAGAGCCAGCTTGTGATCAACAAAACGGTAAGAGCCGAGGGATCCGTTCCGTACGAGCAACCAAACCCTTCCCAGATCTGGAAGCGAACGGTCTGCACGCAGTAGTCTATGGAAGATGAATCAGCATTCGCGCAACTTTTACTCCCCGTGAACTAACAGAGTGGCCCGGCGACGAGCAGCGGTATTCCCAAGCCCAAGGTCCACTCAATGAGCAGATTGCTACTGTTCTGACAGGGTCGTTAGCGCAGGGAGCTCAGAACACAAGATCGTTGCGTACACGGGGTGCTTCTACGGATCGAAGGCTAGCAATAAGATACATCCGCCGCGACAGGTTGAGCGTTATCATCGGTCTGACGACACGCGCTATGATTTGGAGGCGGGAGACTAGCTAGTGCGTCAGTTCTGTGCCATGTGCGAAACTCAGGATAGAGTGGTACTTACCAATGTCACAATACACAAGGAGCTTTACATCTGCATTATCAGACCAGATTGCTGCGTCGATGCCGTTGGTCAAAGTCTCAAGGCTGAGCCAGAAGCAGAGAAATGCAACCCCTAGGTTCCAGCTTTGGCGCATAGGATAGGTGATCAGTACAAGAAGGAGAAGAACAGAGGCAAGAACGCATGCGCAAGAGTACAAAGGGTAAGTGGGGTCAACGGCGCCCATCCTCGTGTACCCAACAAGAGGAACCGGTACGGAAACGGGTTTATATACCACCTCAAGCCAGGGCAATGTTGAAGCGTGCGGGCTAGTGAATGGATGTAGTCACTGAAACAGGTTTTCGTCGGATACGCCGACGGTATACTGATAAGGACGGCTACAACAGGACACATTTGTTGATAGAGACCTCCAGGACTTCAATACAGCTTGCGTATGTTCGACCCTTTCCTTATCTTGTAGAGTACAGACTCCTCGTACTGAAGGGACCTCATTACCAGAATCAAACATCTGGACATGACACAGCCTAGCGTATCTGGACTTCCGAGGATCACCGTCTACTTTAGCGCATGAAGTGTGTAGGCTGAACGCACGGTACGTAGGTTCTCCTCTAGTGCATGCTTAGCCAAATGCGCGAATGCCACTCAGCACGTATCACGGGCATGCACCGCAGTTGCCCGCCGCGTCGGGCACAGAGCACGAAAGACCGGGTGAGCTGACCGACACGAATCGTTCAGAAGCTGTGCTTGCAGGGAAAGTATCGGGAACGGTATGCGTCTCAAAAGTCCGTTCACGATCGAAAAGGGTCGAAGTTGGAGGTCCTCTATACGTTCATCGAGGTGATGATGGGCGCTGGTAAGGTGATCGTCCCGAAAATGGCGCGGTAATGATCCGACGGCATTTGCCGACCGGGACGACTGGACGCTGCTTAGACGCAAACAGGACCACCACCAGAACAAATCACGATGATGGACTAGAGTCATGTTCACAAACCTATCCGTCGCCAAGCTTGATGTGCAGCGGTCTTCTCCTGAAAGAGTCTGCCCGAAGCCCGTTTGCCTGTACTCAGGGTTCACGCAGTGAAATCCTATTTTCTGCACAAAGCTGACGACAAGCTTCTACATTTTCGTGTATATAGCGCGCGCTTGTTTCCCTAGGGCTTCCCAAATACGTGCCATCTCATGAGCTCCCCAGACGTACGGAGCTCTAGGCGTTGCACGGTATGAACAGGGCTGTGCAAGCGATGGGGATGATAGCGAGTGATGCTATACGGTATATACCCAAGTAGTTATGACAGCTATACAACACGGATCCTGATGCCTCCTAGATGATTCTCTACAACCCTTCAAATACTATGCCGCTCGGCCAAAGTGGTCCGCCGCCCTCGCAATAGTTGTGTTCAATGCGCACTTAGGCGCGATAGAACATATCTGCAGCTACAGCAGCAGGCTCGACTACGAGAGGCACACCACCCGGGGCAAGTACACGCACAAGACCATCCGGTCCACGCACAACAGGCGCGAATACGCGAGAACGGGGCTTGACATCGCCTACGATTGGTCCAGGGCGGCGAGGCGTCACGGGCGGCCGCCGCGTGAAATGCGTCGGGATCGGCGCAGGAGCGGGCGATGGCGAAGTAGGGGTTACAGGCCCAGGGGTTGAAGCCGCGCTATCCGTTGCAGGAGTCACAGGCTGGGAGAGGTTGAGGACGGCGGGACGGCGTTTCAACTTGGGCAGAGTTCGTGGTTTGAAGATGGGTGCGGATGGGTTGAGGGCGGGCGTCACTTGCGCTTTGGGCTGCGAGACCGGCGAGGCTGAGACGATCGCATCCTCGCCGTGAACCTCTATGGCATCGATAACCTTGACGTCAGAAAGAGATCCAGACGGCGTGCAGGGAGGCGCGAGGGTGACGCCGCTAAGCTCTTGTTCGGAACCAGAGTCCGTTGCGGTCGACGCTGACATGTCGTATATGCATTCGTTGGAAACGCTGTCAATGGCCGAATCGACTTCCGCTTCTGGCTCCTTTGTATTAAGGAATGCTGTAGCGCCCGTTCCGATGTCAGCAACCTGCATCTTCTCGGCTCTCAGGGCTCCGACGGCCGCACGAAGAGACTTGACGATCTACAACCGGGTGGTTGAATGAATGATCGATGCATTGGTGCAAATGAACTCTTACGGTTGAGATGACAAAGATGCTGGCGACCATCACGCAACCTTTGGTAAGCCCGCCAAACACCATCTGGATATTGAGCGTAGGACGGAGCGCCGACGCCCGGTCCATAAGACTTGCAGCGGAAACGTCGAGGTTCGCGGTGAACAGGGGCGTCATCTTTCCATCAAAGAGCATCACTGGATCGACGTCGCCAGTTGCTGTGCGGCGGACAAGGGTCAGGATTGCGTCAAGCGTCGTCGTTGCTGCTGCCGGTGCCGTAGATGTCGGGGTGCTGATGGGGCTGTCTGTCCCCACAAGCATCGAGAGAAAGCTTGCAGGGTACGCGGAGAGTTTCATGCAGGTACAGGCCAGTCGCCATAACGAGTTCAGGAGTGTCGCGTACAAGAACCACTGGGCGAGCAGCGAGACCATCCAGATGGTCGCGCGTACAGTGGCGAGTCCCTGGGCTTTGAAGCGCCCCCAGACGGAGGGCTTCGGGCCCGCGTAGATGATCAGCTGCGTCATGAGAAGGTAGTAGCGGCGGGCGGGCTAGTATGTGAGGTGTAGTCGTTGCGGTTCGGGATGAGAACTGTTGAACGCGTCGCGCCTGGATGTAGTGTTGGAATACAACTCACTTGACCGCGTCCCACGGTTGTCTGCATGTCACGGTCGCGTGCGGCGTTTCGGCTGTCGAGACATCGGCCGCTTCCGAAGTCCCGCGCACCCCGGTTACTTCCTGCGCCCATCTACTTACCTCGCCGCTTCGAGCACGTAAACTGTGATGTGCATCGCGTGCTTTCTACTCGCGACTGCAGCTATACCATGCTGCATGATAGCCATAGCTATGCCCGCCGTGCGACACGTTCTACCCTGTCCTCATGGACCGGTGTTCTGCAATCTGATGATAATGACGAGCAGTTCAGTCTCTCAGCATCTTCGCATGCACCATTACACTGAAACGTCCCTTTTCGATCCTATCTGAAGGGTCATGAGCTTCAAGCCACATGTGACTGTAGAATACCGCCCGCCGGTACCGCGTACTGCTCCGTTGCCTATGAACGAGCTGGAAGTTCTATGTAAACCACCGTCGCTGGCCTAGGCGGAGTGGTGCTCAAAAAGGTCGTACGACACTCAGTCCCACGTATACGGAAGCGAACAAAACCCCGCACTTTGCTGCCTTCCGAGCTAGACCGCATGCCGTGTGCTTCATCACAGAGCGCGGCTCAACCTTATGACTACTTCGCAACACGGCGCTATGGGCGCGTTTGAATGGTACCTGGATGCATAGGGATCTTGGCAGAGCGTAGATCATTGCAACACGCGCTTCAGCGTCTGTCTGGCTAGATCGACCAGACCTAGATGTTGTACTGCTTTGAGCAACGTGATAGAACGCCGTCTTTGTATAAAGGTGTTGCCGTTCTGTTGTATCCGACCAGGGTTCTCCTCTGCGTACTCTTTACCAACTGTTTGACATGATATCCGCTTCATCTGTTGTCCTTGCCTTTGCGGTAGCCGCCCCCGCCCTTGCCGACCTCGGCAAAGCGACCCTCTTTCCCAACGGCCTTCATGACCCGCTTATCGGACTCGACAACCTTCCTTTCCAAACGTTCACCTATAGTGGTGTCGCGGTCCCTTCTCTCTGCATCTCGCACGCAACGGACGCCGGCTGCGATACGTCGACTGTCGAAGCTTACCAGGCGAACTACGGCGACTGCTCGGAGCCGTGGACGCTTTGCCGCTGTGCCAATGCCCAGATGAGGTATGTTTCTAACATACAGTGCATGCAGTGCAGCCTCTGACTACGGGTTCTAGCGCGGCGACAATGTTGACACGCTTCGCTCAAGTTCCACCGGGCGTTCGCAGCTACGTTGGCAGTGCGCTTGCAGTGTCAGCCAGTTCCTGCAGCGCTGGTTCCGGCGGAGACTTCATCGTCTTCAATGGCGATTGCTCGCAGAGCGTCTTCGATCATGAGTCGTACGTCGGAATTCATCTGCAGTGTCGACTTGGACTGAAGTCGTTCCATTTAGCGGCCACTCGCTTGACCAGAACACGTCGCCGTCGTCGGAGTGGACCAACGCCCTTGCTGCCTCCACTTGCGTACCGGACGCGTACGCGAATACATCTCCCGCGGAGGATTTCGCACAGGTCAACGTGTGCTACATTTACCAGACCCGCGTGGGCGCTCTCCCTGCGGATGCGAGCTGCATGCAGGCGCAGCTGAACGTCTTCGCCAACGACGCTCGCATTCACGGCGCGCAGACCGCAACGACTTGCAACGCCGGCGTGCGCCCCTTCCAGCTGTACGTCGATCCTTCCAAGTTCATACGTCTGTCTCTGACCTCGTGTACAGCAACGACAACTTGGTTACAAGCAAGAACCTCACGAACGCGCTCTACACTGGCAAGATTGACACCAAGTTCTTCCACGACTGAACATGCCCTCACGACGACTTCCCCCTTATCCTGAAAAGTTGATGTACTTTGGGTTTATGATGTACTTACTACCTTGGGTTCAACTGGCCATATGGTTATCACTTCTGTGAGAACATGCCTACTGGGCTCGCCGGGCAAGCGAGCGGCTAAAAGGCAAGTCTGTTACCTGCGACGTTTGAGCAGGAGGTCAGCGAGTGCTTGTCACTAGTGAGACATCTTCCTTATCCGCCGCGCCGTCGAAGCGGAGATTGATCCGAGGTGCCGCGCGGGCAATGGGCATCATCGCATTCCGTTGACCAACCGTCGACTCCGGGTCCACATATATGTGAATGCTCAATAATATACAACCAACGTTGACTGGGACAATCAAGTGAACGATTGGAAGACACAGTAGCGCGCCCCTCCATGGATTAATATGATTCATCATAATGGCATTATGTCCGTGACGCATCGCAGGTGCGTGCATCGCTGGTCGATAGTAAATTGTGTCTATATACAACCAATGTCTAGGTATAGCATATGTGATGGTGTCCTTGTTACAGTGTTACTTGATCATTGCATTCGTAATCCTACTCGGCCTCTGGAGTGTCGTAGCCCTGCGGGTTCTTCGTCTGCCAGTTCCAGAGGTCACGGCACATGGCCTCAAGGTCGTACTCCGTCTTAAAACCGAGCTCCTTCTCCGCAAGAGAAGGGTCGGCGGTAAGGTCGGGAACATCACCCCGCCTGAAGAATGTCAGGTATGTGCTGCGAGGGATAGAGTCGACCGAGCTTACCTGCGTCCAATGACCGAATGCTTGAAGTCGTAGCCGCTGGCCTTGCGCATAGCCTCGACCATCTGCATGACTGAGAATCCACGACCACGACCAAGGTTGTAAGCTTTATAACGGGCTTCATCAGGGCAGTTATCGAAGACTGTGCTTTCCGGCGCAAGGGCGTCCAGCGCGATGAGGTGACCCTTAGCAAGATCCATAACATGGAGGTAATCGCGAACGCAAGTGCCGTCGGGAGTCGGATAGTCGTTGCCAAAGACCTTCAGTTCAGGCTCCTTGACACGACCACCAGCCATCTGAGCGAGCAAAGGCAGAAGGTTCTCCGGACGTCCGCGAGGATCCTCGCCGATAAGACCAGAGGGATGAGCGCCAGCAGGGCTACATAGGTCGTCAGAACGCAAGGGTCTGAGCGTGGCGGACTTTAAGTACGAACTTGAAGTAGCGCAGGGAGATTGCCCGCCAGCGACTAGGCTCGGCATGGCACAGGTCCTCGAGCATGAATTCCGACATGACTTTGGAACGACCGTAAGGGCTGTCGGCCTTCAGGCGAGTCGACTCAGGAATGGGGATCTGGGGCGGGATGCCGTAGACAGTGGCAGAGGACGAGTAGAGGAAGCGCGTGCACTCCCAGTCGGACATAATTTCAAGAAGGAAGATGGTGGCGGCGACATTGTTGTGGTAGTAAGTGATGGGAATCTCGGTAGATTCGCCCACGGCTTTCAGCGCCTAAGGAATAGCTACGTCAGAATCGGCACGAATACAGGAGACGCACGAGGCGTCGCTTCTCTCCCAAAGTTGACATCCACTCACCGCGATGTGAATGACGCCCCAGATCCCACCCTTGCCGTACCTCTCAAAGACAGCGCGGACGTCCTCGGCGTTGATGAGGTCGATCTTGTACGTGTCAATCACAGTGGATTCCTTGTCCTGTTCAGTCGCATCGGCCGGAAGCGCATCGCGGGCAATCTTGGTCAAACGGTCGTAGACTGCAGGATGCGAGTTGTGGAAGTTATCGATAGAGATGATCTTGAAGCGGCGAGTCTGCTGAAGGACGTGAATGACGTGCGAGCCTGCCACGAACAGAACGCTGTCAACGGATGTCGGAGCCACATCCCGTACTCATAACGCACCGATGTAGCCGGCACCGCCAGTGACGAGAATGCGCTAGCATTCAGACATCAGTATCGCCCGAGAGCCACGAGTGAACAAAGCGCGACCTTCAGCGGTTCAGAAGGCATGATGACGGAAAGAGATCAAGATTGGTGAAGGACGGTTCTTGAATTCGAACCACCAGCTGGCGAGGAGGCGGCTTATATAGCAGTTTGCCTCTTTACAGTCCCCGATTCTTCTCTTTATATACCGATCAGCTAGGCCCGTATGACTATGACGGAAGGCGCTGGACCCGGTCCGAATGTGCCCTTCCACGGCTCGAGACGAGCCGACGCACATGTGCTGGCACAGCTAGGCCGCCCTGGGTACCGCATGCACTCAACATTTTTTTCGTACCTCCACCGGAGCATCCGCTACCGGGTTGCGTTGAGGGTACACTCGACATACTCGAATTGCCTAGAAATCGACCGAGGCTTAGCCACGTCTATCCTCTTCCACAGCTGGGCGCGAGTCAAAACGCGGGGCCCCACGGGTATCGATGCCAGCCAACCTCCTGATGACTTCAGTTGCGGCATGCGGGCAAAGGCTTCGACATGATGATCGATATCGTTGCTCGGGTTCTACGCCCGCAGACTGTACACAGCTCCCGCTAGTTACTTAGGCTGAGAAGTGTAGTAGAAGATCGGGTAACTTCTCCGAAACTTCGCCGTGCGTATAT